GAACACAAAAACTACATAGCTGCAGCACTAACCGAGAGTGAAAAGAGACAAGTTAGTTAAAGGTCACACACACACACACACATCACAGTTTCATCATAAGTGATTGGAACTGCCCAAAGAAATCAATTTATGCCCTTTCTGCAATACTTAATATATGTTTTTTTCAATTGAGATATAATCAAACAATTGTTTATCAGATTTGAAGACACAGACAAAAGTCCGAGTTAAACTGGTGATCATGAAGCTAATAAAAAGGAGGTCTTTATTTCATGTTGTATTATTATTGCCTGGTTAAAAGAACTAGTGGCATCTCTTGATATCAAAGACTATAAATGTCTCAGTGCATCTATTGTGTTATCCTTGATAAAAATATAGAGTGATATTGTATTTTATCATTTCATAAAAAGGGGATAACGGTTTACAACAATGCAGCGTGCCACCAGCAGCACTGAATAAAGCCAGACAGGGTTTAAAATCAGCTTGCATCACCCACATAAGAAAATATTTTATAATCTCAACATGCACACACTGCAATATTTCTAAATAATAGCGCATCACACACACTAGAGGATATCATTGACATGATTGTGCCAGAGGGAGCAACACACCACCTCAAGTGATCTTATGAGGAAGCAGATGTAAACAGAAAGGAGGCCGACATGGTGCTATGACTGTAGTGATGCTTTGCAGTGAGGAAAAAACATTAGCTGAAGGCTAAATGAGTCCGGATGAAAATACACATTATATATGAACATATTGTTCTCTTCTCAAGGACAACAACAAAACATAGCCACTGACATCCACAAAGATTAAGCCTTTAAAAACTATTCATCCACTTGCCTTTGTGCAGGAATTAAACTGTATTTCTATGCTACTCTATTTGTAACAGTGATTATGTGTAACTACACATAGTTCTATAGAAATGCACTAGGACCTTGTATTGAAATTGACCAATCTGAAATCTCTTGACTTGCTTTCTAAATGAGATGTTGATCAGTGGGGAGCAGGTTTGATTTGTAGATTTGTAAAAACAACATTTTTTTCAAATGGCGTACACTGTGACAAAGGTTGAGTTCACGCAAGCAGTCGCAGAGGTCCATGGCTAATTATACTGCTTTAATGAAGCCCCCCCGCTGATAAGCTCTTTTTTACATTTTGAATCATTACAACTGTGTAACACTCGCTGTAGAGCCCTTTTCCCACAGCAGCCCTGAGAGGCTGGCGACAGTCTCTCACCTTCCCTGCTGTGGTGACCTTTAAAAAGTCCCGAATGACTCAATGGGATTTGCCTGCGACATCAATCTGGGGAAAATACACCTTTATCTCTGAATTTCCCTTGAAAATGACTTGATTAAACCGGAAAACTTGAAGGTTAGGGTATATACTGTGGTACCACATATTAGGGAAACAATATCAGTGCTTCATAAAGGGGGTACAATGAAGTGGGTGGAAGGTAAAGTAGATTAATAAAATGTTACATTTTTGCTTCCTATAACTGCCTGTGAGAGCCACTGTTGGTCCCATGTTTAATGAAGCACTCACCTGTGCCAGGAGGTCCATATAGGATGACACCTTTGGGAGGCTTTATGCCCATCTCCTCATAATACTCTGGATGTGTGAGAGGCAGCTCCACCGACTCCTATTAAAACCAACAGAAACAGCATCGTCAACCTCAAGGAAAATATGTTACCAAATATTTCAACCTTCAATTTGATGTAAACAGGTCACTGTGAAAGCTACGAAAGTATTATCCATACTGTGGTCAATATTTGTGTTTAGAGAACTAGTAATGAAGAGAAATGATTTATGCTCCAAAAGTGGATGGAGAGAATCTGTTTTGAGATGGAACAGCCGTTCATGCAATAATTACTGTACCTTGATCTCCTGGATCTGATTGTCCAGCCCGCCGATGTCAGCGTAGGTTTCTTGTGGGGCCTTTTCCACCTTCATCACCGTCACCAAGGGATCAGTGTCATCCATCAGCACACCAATCACAGCATGAACCTGCAAGCGCAACACAAACACAAGACAAATGTGAATGGTATTACAGCTGAAGGAGGTGGCAGAGATTATAAAAGTGTTTTGGGGAAATGTCGGATACTTATTGACCCTAGATCGATGAATAGTAGAGCAGTGTCATAGTTAAGTTATGTAGTTAGGAAGTTAAGTAACTGTAATTATTCCTTGTTATTGTCTTGAATGGTACTCTTTAAAACAAAAGGTATTTTGATCAAAATTAATGTATTATTAAAATGGTAAACTTAAATAAGGATTCTCACTAAATATCACCTTGTGGTTGAGCAGGACAGAGCAGCCCGGTTCCAGCAGATCCTTATCCACAAAGGACAGGATGCTGACATAGTGCTCTGATCCCACTGAGGTGGAAACGATGGCGTGGTTGTCATCGATGATTTCCTCCAGAGTGCCGACAGACATGGGGGTCCCCCGCAGGTCGTCCACCTTTGACCTCTCCTCCTGCAAAAAAGATAAGACTAGGATTAATATAAAAGAAAAATAGTAGGAGAAGTTGAGATTTGGTCTGTTCTGTATTGTTTTATAGTTTGACCAAAGTTCAATAAAGTGTATATACATTAAAAAAACAACAGTATTATTGTACCGAAATATTATAACAGTGCAAATGCAAGTTAGGTAAATGTGTAACAAGGCCTGACCTCCTGTTTCTCTTCCAGAGGCTTCATCTGTTCCTGGTTTCTGATGAACTCCTCCTCCATCAACAGGTAGTCCTTGATCCGCTCCTGCTTCAGCAGCTTCAGACGGCATTGAGTGTGAGGGGTGACTGGAAGACAAACACAGGCCAGCACATTTAAAATGTACATTAAAAACTGACATAAACACCAACTTTATGGTCTCTTTTTAAATTCAATAATGCCACAATATGGACAGTTGATTCTATTTACAAACTCTCCACCAGCTATGTCAGGGAAAAAATGCTTAACAGAATTCCCAGTTGTATCCAGTGAGATCAGATAGAGCTCGGCAGGAGACCTAAGAACTGAGACAGGCCACCAGTCAGATAAAACACGTCTTCACGAGACTGCTTTTTCAGTTCCTTACCTAATGGTAGTTTACTGGCAGCATCTGGTCCCTTGGTCTTCTTCTTTCTCTTGCCAACTCTGGTGGGAATTGGAGGCTCGTATTTTTTCTTCTTATCCTTCGATTGGGACAAAGTGGGATGACACATGTCAGAAAAGGTAACCCATCATACACAGTGTTTAAATATGTGTCCGTTACCTTGGCACAAACATCCCTACAAGATATGGTAAATTAACTAGTACTTGTCGAGCTCTTTCTAGTCTTCTGACCACTCAAAGCTCCTTAACACTACATGTCATCACTCACCCATTCACACACTGATGGCAGGAGTTACCATGTAAGGTGCTACCTTACCTGCCCATCAGGATATTCATCTACATTTAGTACAGAAGCGTTTAATACTTTTCACATAAGCTTTTGAATAAAGCCAGTGGTCTACACTGGACCACAGTGTTAGCAAACAGCATGTGTGGCTGGCTGGTCAGATAGTAAAAAGAAAATAAGCAACACAAAAAAGTCTTACAATATTAACTACTATATTGAGTAGATAAATATCAGGCATAATAAATTTCAGTTTGACCAAATGATTCAGGTCTAATTGTGATTTAAAACCACCCTAATTATCAGTTAAATCATCACAAAAGAATAATATGTGGCTACCATAACAGGTTCAGACGCTAACTAGCAGAAGCTGTGTCATTCTCACCTTGTCGTCCTTCTTGCCTCCTCCCGGACCGTGACCTCCACTCTGGCTTTGCCCCTAAAATAAGATCAGACATGCGTGAATAAAGATGAGAGGAAACGCATCCATCAGTGCATTGTGATCTTTAACGATAACGTTCGAAATTTCCCTTTCTAAATAGCTCATTAGCTGAGCTGTTTATAGTCAAGTTAACGTTAGCTTACTTCGCCGTTAACCATACCTGCCAGGATAGCTAAATTCAACACGCTACATTGTATTACTGGAGAGACTAAATTTAACATTGTCATCAATGATATAACATCAAACACTTAGAAAAGGGAAAAAGGCTACCTTTCTAACATGAATGACTATGCTAGTTACAGCTAGGACAACGACTGTTGCCAAACGAGAGAAATACTAATGAAGCTAACGTTAGCCTTCGGCTAGTAGGCTATAACCTACTTTTAATTCTGTTGTTACATCACAAATCAGACATAAAGACGCCTGAAACTATATGGCAGCACAAATGTTAACGTTTCAAGTATTATGAGCAATGCTCTATAAACGAATAAAGCGTTAAAATAAAAATACGAGCCGCAGAGAAAACTGCTTGCTCACTTACCATTGTTACTTGTCGCACTAAAGTGACGTCAGAGGGTAAGGCAACACCAAGGGACAAAAGTTAAACTCATTTGTCAGGATGCAGGAAGAGTCTAATGTGAAGCCACCAGATAAAGATACTTTTACAGGCCTACAACAATACTATGCAGTTCAGGTTTGATTACCATTAAAAACAATATTGTGTGCGTATATATATATATATATATATATATATATATATAATATATAGTTATATATATAAAATATATATAACTTTTGATGACATCACATTTTCAAGTCAAAGATTTTCAGTACAGCTTCCACAGCGGTCTAAATTTATTATAATAACACACTGTGTGGCTGTTTTTCTTTCAACTTTATGAAACTCATTTTAATGAACATCACATCTCATGTGTTGTCATGGTGAAATTTCAATTATTGCACATTGTGGCTGAGTATTGGTGAACCATGAGCAGGTAAAGAAGCACACTATCAGTTGATTCCTGTATTTTATTAAGACTTCATGGCATTTATTGTATGCCATGAAGTTCAGCAAATGAACCAGAAAGGTTAATGCCATCTAGAACATGTTAACACTGAAAGACTCAAACTTAACCAAACAGGGTAGAGTTGAATGTATACCTTTAATGACAGCATCCTCAGTATTGCACAATGTCTCAAACATGGGTGCTCAAACAAGAGGATGGACTAAAGCTGCAGAAATAATACTGTCTTTTTTTCCCGGAACAAATGCAGTGTTCACTGTGCATATTTTGGATAAGCACCATGTGCCACCTGAATCTCACAGCCTTGGTTTTCTCAGACACTATTTGCATGCTATTTACCCTCCCCAGTCACACTCATGCACATGATCAATAATTATACGCACAACATTGACAATGCATTCCACCCATTCTAATTTAGTCATTATGATAATTAGCTAATTGTGCAGGGCTGTCACTATTTACGTATGTGCTACAGCTAATGCCTCAGACATGTCTGTATGTGTGCAAAGCCATTGCTTGACAGTCACTAAGCTGAACTGGGCTTAACAGATATAACATTGCATCTTACAATTTATATGTAACATATAGTCATAATAAGGACAATATGTCCACTTTCATTTATTCTCAGAATCTTTACTCAGGTACAGTGTTTTCACACCTTTTGTGAACATAATAATAAAACCTATGAAGTGTATTACCGCTGAGCCATGAATGGCGGTGTAAAACTGAGACCCCCTCTGCAGCACAGCAGAATAAAACCACACTGTCAAATCTCACATGACTATTCCATTAGAGTGTGCTTCAAATTGTCTCCAACACAGTGGGCAGGACAGCAGTAATTATTTGGGAGTTGCGGTGACTGAGAAAAGAGCTTCAACAAAGAGTCTTTGTGTGTCTGCATCTGTCCGAGTCCATCCTGTCCCACACACACATGCACTTGTGCACACATGTACACAAAGCTATTATTATCTGTGTAGCGACAGCTTCTCGGACATATTCTCTCTATTTGGCTATCTTGTGTGTGTGTTTGTGTGTGGGCAGCGTGCATGTGCATGGCAATGGCAAAGCAACATCTTTGCAGTTAATGTGTCAGATTCTGATTCTGTCTGAAGGGGAGATTGTCTCTATTGGATATTGGAGTTCAGTATTTGAGGATTTTTCTGGCAAGCTAGCTAACTGGGCTAAATGTAAGCTCAATGAGTAATGTTTGAAAAGGCTTTCTCTGGCTGACTTTGTTTACAGCAGACAATAAAAAAAAAACAAGACTGGCCTACATGATATTGTGCGAAAAGACTGAGGCTAAAGCTGCATGCATGGCTGAAATGTAAACTTCCTTAAATTGTGTTTCTTTATTTTTATACGAATATATTCTTCACTCTGCATATGTTTCATTAATGCCGTGTGTGGTCTGAATCGCACTTTCTTCTTCTGTTTGTGCTGCGAACTGAAAAGGATTTCGCAACAGATGTCTCACAGATATAGTATTCTCACGACAATTGGAAGTCATCCTGAAAAAAAAATCCATGCCGAAAATATTATAGCACATGCTTTCTTTGCATGTTTGCTAGGTTGTCTCTCTGCTCTTGTTCTGTGGAAATCAGACCCACTGAAGTCGGATCTACCAAAGTTTAACTGGTGACATCAGAGGTGAAGCCTGCAGGATTCTCACCCTGTAATTTCCTCTCAGACACATTTACAGAGAGAATGAAGATGTCAATACAATCTCACTAAATGTAGCATCTCGCATAATGTAGTGTCCATGAGTCCTCCTCCTGCTTGGCTGCTTGCAGGTTCCACCAAAATCAGTCCCTCCACCGGCATGTTATGAACAATGTCTGTCTTTTGTCCTTTTGTGTACTGCACCTGCGGTGAATCCAGACTACAGGTAAAACATAAACCTGACGCCGCTGAGCTAAAATCAAATAATAATCCCCGAAGCGATTTGTGTCACTGCATTTATCAACACCAACCGCCCAAAGGCCTGAACAACAATGTTAGCATAATGTTCAGCAAATGCCAAAGTTAACAGGTGTCATCTCAGACCCTGAACACCACCAATACAGCCAGAGATAGGTCTGTTTGTTTCATAATGAGGTTCTTTGAAGGGTTTTGTCTTCTGTTTGTCCTGATAATGAATGAAAGCAATGCCAAGAGGGAGGCTATTGAATGGCAAATAATATGTATGTGAATCATGTGTGTCTGAGTCACGGATGATGTGAGTGACATTGCGATTGATATACATATTTATATTTTGCCATAATTGTAAAATTAGGCGTTCTGCATTAACTGTAAACATCCAAGAGCTTTATGTAATAACTAGACATGAAACCAAACAGCCATTTGAATAAAGCTATTTTCATATCAGACACGGTTTTGGTTGGTATACCCGTGAGTATTGTGAAGTACGATGGATGAGTGGAAGTTGAGCTGCGAAGTAGCATGTACTGCATCATGTTTTTAAGGCTTAGATACAAGGGCTCTAGGCAGGCTTTTTTTTTCATTACCATGGAAACTGACTTCCTCACGGGAGAACATTCCGGCAAACTGAGCCTGGTCCAGATGTGAGACTCCAGCAAACTATCATGCATCATTAATGTAGCCATGTTCTTGACAGGGAAGTTGCTGCTGCTGGAGGCCAACTTGCTTGTCGATGGAAAAGATGAATTAGTCATAAATTCAATCTTGTACACCACCCAAGTCTTCTGTTTTCCAGGAAGTGTCAATTTGTCCCTACATGTCTCATTCTTTCATCCTTTTGTAACTTTAAAAAAGGATTCAGGCTGTTTCCCTATCTGTCAACGCTAGTCTCTGCCAGCCGGTTGTTCATGATGCCAAGGGCGCCCACCCCTCCTGAGAACCCGTTCTGGCGTGAACTGGAGCTGGACTGGCGCGGGTGCCCGATGGCCATCTCCGAAAGCTGCTTCTGCATAATGGCCAGATTCACCTGTAGGAGGAGAAAGAGATAAAGAAATCAACAGAGGAGAAAATATTTGCTGTCTCTGTTTGGAAGTCAAGTGTGCAACCTGTGAAGCCTTGCGAAACAATGATGAATACAATGTGTTTGCGGCAGGCACATCTGATTTCACAGGTGTGATATGAGGCTACCAGATGGTGTGTTTTTGGTCGATTTATGTGAGCAAAGATGACAAGTACTGAATAAGTGTGACTGACAGAAACCAGATATTCACTCTCCCACACATCAACCTTTCTGTTTAATTTTTCACTCTACAAAGCCATATGTAGAGAATGTATATAGCTGTGCTGTTTTACATGTGTTTAGTCAATATTAAATCAAATGTAAAGGAGCTGTTTTACACAATTATGTGTATTTTTACTAACGCTTACTACACAGCATGTCGATGTCGTTAGATTGATTATGTACAGACATACAAAGCCAATGGGCGAGGCCTACTTACTTTGGTGATCCCCTGACTTACTCTGGCACTACTTTGAGATTAACGCTTTACATTTTTAGCGAAATGTCTCAACAAACATTGGATGGAATGCCATGACATGTGTTAAAAACCCTCAGGATGAATTTTAATAACTCTGGTGATCCACCTGATTATTCATCTGACACCATCATGAGGTCAAAATCTAAATTCGTCCAATACTTTGGTTTATGACTGTCATTAGCATGCTGAATTTAGCATTTAGCTCAAAGCACAGCTGTACAATAATGCTGGTATTGCTGTAGACTCTTAATTCTGTTTTAACTAAAACAATGAGCCTTAAGGCCTTTACACTCTACGGGCGTGACGAATAAAACGGCACAAAAATGCGAAATACTTGCTGGTGAATATTTGATATTTGAGTTTGCGACAGAAGCACTTTTTCCAAAATTGATTTGAAAGGATTTGCGGAGAAGACCGACCCGCAGGATTATATTGGCTCCAGAGAAGCATCTGGCAGTCTGTCTTAGATAAACTGTTGTTTATCCTAAACTTCTGTAAGCTAATTTATTGAGTTTTCGTTTATTTGACTTTTATTTGAATGGTTTTACCATCATCAGTTAATTCACATCCTACCAGCAGTACACCATTTAGTCTTCTAATTACTCTGAGATTGAGATTTAGTTTTTCCAGTTCAGAATGATCCTGCGGTGAATGAGCACTGTTTTGACATTCAACAGCTCACACTGCTCATTCGTCTCATCTGAAAAGTGGGCTAGCAGTTATGTAAATGTTTGGACAATTGACACCTCCAAGTGGCTTTGAGGGCTGTTGAAGGGGCGATAGCAGTGGAGTAAGGCCAATGGTATTCAGATATATTTTACACATAATACAAATGTAACCTAGAAAACAGCAGCAAAAAAATACATTTCTGCTGACTGGAAGTCCTTATCGACATATTAATCACAATGTGTAACCTTGGTTAAAATATTGATCTTGCATATTTTCATTCTATTTAGACAGTAACTAAGATATCAAGAACATTGGTTTCAATAATTAAATAATAAGTACGGACAGGCCGTGATATGTAACGTGATATGTTACATCCTGGATTGACAGCCATGCAGGAAAGCTGCGATAGAGCATTACACATTCGATGCAGCTTATGATGAAGGAGATGACCGAGAGCAGGGTGAATAAGCAGTTAATGACTACAGGGAAACAGTTGTTGACTGAATGTCCTTTCTGCTACTCTTGTCAGCAGTTTAATCACTCTAATTACTCTGGGGATAACTGAATGTCTTGCATGTAGTAACACATGTGATTATATTAGACGGGTTGAATGTCACACTGCTGTCAGCCTCAACCTGCTCCAGCCCTGAAGCGCTCACCTTGTTTGCTGCCAGGAAATCCCTCATGGAGATCATTTCCCCAGACATCCTGCGCCCAGTGTCAGTCTCACTTTCGTTGATGGCGTCTGTCTCGATGGAGGGGTCCCTGCGGGCGCGTAGGTGACCGGGGGCCACCACGTTCCGCCGGGGTCGCCGGTGGGGGTGGTCACCCCTACTGGGCAAACAGCAGCGGCAAGGGGCCTCCAGCCTCCTCAGCAGCCAGTTGAGGACCTGCTTGATGACAATGGAGATGACGTTGAAGAGGGAGTAGATGCAGCAGACGCCGGTCAGGATGAAGAAGAAGTTGCCCAGCCGATATGCGGCCGTGGTGTGGCCCTCGTAGACGACCCGCTGGCTGCTCACCATGTCTCCAAAACCGATGGTGCTGAAGGCCACAAAGCAGAAGTAGAGCGAGTCCAGGTAGCCCCAGCCCTCTGCTGCCGAATACATGAGCGAGGCACAGCAGGACACCAAGATGGCTGCCACTCCAAGAATGAGCATGACGCAGTAGACCGAAGGCTTCCAGCCAGCCAGATCCTGTTTTTTTCCTCCTCCACTTCCCCCAGCTCCGCCTGCTCTGTTTCCCCCAGAGACCCGTTGGCCATTTGGAGGCCGCATAGCTTTGTTATGGCGTCGTTCGTGACAGGACTTGAGGACCACGGCGATGACGGTGATGACGCGCTCCAGGAAGAGGTTGAAGAAGAGGATGGTGGCTGCACAGCCGAGTAGGCCGTAGAACATCAGGAAGACTTTTCCTCCAATGGTGGCAGGAGTGGTCATCCCAAACCCTGAGATACACACAAAAACATGATGCACTAAGTGGAAATCTACATGCAGATAAAATGAATGAACACTGAGTCGAACACATTGAAGTACTTGACCTTCACAGGTGCAAGTATCTCTGAATAAAGAATCAACTAATAATTTTACTAAATAACTACCATCTCTTGAAAAACACATTTAGTGCCCCTATTTTATTTAAACTCACACACACTTACAAATGAGTAAATGAATGGGTCATTTGTAGAGAAGATGAGTGTGTCCATTGCTTCCAGCTGCTTTGATCTACTTTTTAAACCAAACTCACATCCTCCCTGTCATTAAAAAAAATCTCCTATTCTTCCAAGGGAAAATCATAATCACACAATTACTTTGACTGTCTGGGTTGCCATTAATGACACCATCTTCTTCTCTCTCCGTCTCTTTGTAACTCACTTAAAGAGCTGAGGTGTTTTCAGTCCAAGCACATCACTGCAATTAGTCCCAAAGTGTGGGCTAGTCTCACATTTCACCGCAGTCCCTCCAGTCTTTTGCAGTGTAAAAGACCCACTGGGGCCCATTCACATCTCAATTTGATCATTTTCTCGTATTCTTATAGGTAAAAAGAACCCATTAAGCTGTTTTTACTCTGAGATGCTGCTAGAGTGTGATTTCAACATTGGCTCTTGTGAAAAGACAGATGAACAGAATGGGAGTCAAACTGAGAGGTCTTTCCATCGACTGAACCAGTCTCAGTGATCCTTCATCCCTCATTTAACACTGAAAGCTCAATGAAGCACTATCTGTCTCTGTCTGGTCATAGAATTGTTGAAAATGTGAACACATACTGTTATTTGTAAGGGTATTGCACAGTCACATGCACAGTGTGCTGTGGTGTGCAGCGGCAGCTGTGAACTCATTAGAGCTCTTTTCACTAGAAAACGAGATACATGTTACTGCATCTCATGGCATGAAAAACATACTCTGAGGATTTGATTGCCTCCGTATTCAAATTTGTTCTCAAGGTGCTATTTGAGGTTTTCTTCACGACAATCAAGCCAAATGGGATGTTTTTTTAAGGATGTGTTTTTCTTTCATTGTTTCGTATGCTCGGTTGAATGTGATGTTGATGAATAATTTGACCCGTTAAATAAAATACGCATCCATGACAGACAGAGAAAATAGTGTGCTACTCTGTCAATATCTACTCTGTGATACCACAGTCCTGACTTCTACCTTCTGAACGCAACATCACTCATTAAGGCAATAGTTTGTCTTTTTAGGAAGTATGCTAGTATATCTGTCTGTTAAATATCAAGCCACAACAAGCAACTAGTTAGCTTAGCACAGAGACGAGATGGGAAGAGGGCAAGATTGTGTATACAGTATATGATTGTCTGATGACTGAATGACTGATGAATGAAAGACATGTTTTTTCCAGGGAAAGTGTGTATTTTTTGTGCAATGGGCCTTCAGAACAATGGGTGTTTGTTTTCAGGATAACGGGCTGTTGAACAAATGGGCTTTCGGTCCAATGGGACATTTTTTGGAGTATTGGGCTGTGGAACAATGGCGTGGCACCGTCCGAGATATCTCATCCCACTTTGCAACTCTACAAAGTACAGGTTTAACAGATGCATGAGTGGTAAAGACCCTCTTATCTTCTCATCTCAGAATGAGCGCATTAACCAACATTTCAAACTATTGACTTAAATTAGAAAGTAAACCAATTTATGCACAGTGCTATCCTATATTTTAATTAGGTCATTTAGCCAAATCAAGTTTTATGATTGCAATTCAAACCCTTGTTGCTATTCACTGATGCATCTACATCAGTGGTGCTCTAAACATGAGGACTAACACTATATGTGCATATGCTCTGACCACCATGTATAAAAGATGCCACACTCTGATGCATACAGTTCTCTCCTTGAGGATAGGAAATATTGATGTGTTCGTAAAACTCAGAGATGAGAGTGAAAAGATGAAAATCATTAAGAGTTATAGCTTAGATTAATGAGAGTTGACATTAATTAAATAATAGAAAATCTCTGTGATTGTAAACTTCAGCAGAAGAGAAATTGGGGTACAGCATACAGTATCTCTACAGGAGGTTGCATCAATGATGACATCACGTGATTTTATGACAATGCAACTGTCATGTATAAGAACTGAGATAAGATGCAATCTTGTTACGATTATTGATCAGCAGGTCAATTACTTACTGGACCTTGTAGAGATGTACTACATGAATGCTACTTGATGAAATATGTGATCAAGTTTGTGGTTATCTCTGCTACTCTGTCAGAGGTCTCAGGAAAGTGCAGAAGTGCAGAGGAAAACAATGTGTTTGATTTGAAAATATGTATTTTCATCTTGAAAATTGTAGGTGGCTTTAGGAATCATGGGAGAATAATGGGATCACTATTGCGATCACCTCTTTTTATGCTGCCATCAATCACAGTGTGTGAAGTGAAGAACTTGATACGGTCTGGTCCTTCATCAACATAACTCTTATTTAAATGGTGATGCCCTGTCAAACTGTCAATCATCATTAATCAACTCACACCAATCACAGATGTTGAAACAGCACTACCTGTCAGGCACTGAGGGGACAACGCGGAGTGAGCATGTACAAATCAGAAGTATGGACAACAAAAGGTCCTTACTGTCACTGTGTATAACAGTGCTGTTGGTAAGAGGGATGTCTCTGTATCTCTACTCTGTCCTGACAGTCCTGGACACAGCCAGTGCTGGAAGGGAGAACTGGCTGTCAAGGATACATCTTATTCTGATGCAGACATTAAGTTTCTAGTTTGGTCGAATGCACTGACTCAAATCGCAGGTTCTAATTCATGACTAAGAGATGTTGCACAGCTAATGTTACTTTATAAATGACTTGAAGTGGATCTCTTAACAGATAAGAGCTGCGATAGCACCACTGGTATTGTTTTCCCCTTGTGTGTCTGAGTCATCATGGCAAAATGTGGAGACACCTACTGTAGCAGGAACTAACTCTGAGGAGGTTTTGAGTACTTTGCCAGGTGTTAATATGTCTGCCTGTCTGTGGACAGATATTGTCACTACGATAGCGTCAAACTACAGGTGTGTAGTTGAGATCAAAATGAAGGCCGAGTTCAAAGATGGGTGTGGTCCAAGCAAGGGCGGTAAAGTATGGTGGTGGCTGGTCTGAAGATGGTCTCTAGTTATGTTTCAGTTCATTCAGGTGAGCCAGTTCCATGGCTAGTGTGTGTGTGTGTTGACACACTGCATGGCTGACCAGTACAATTAAATGGACCAGAGCCACCATTACTGCTGCTATGACAAGTCAACCCTTACATAACCTGGCTTCTTACATCCCTCCAACACAAACTACTGTGAGGGGGTTAGTTTGCCGATTCATTTGCTATCATTTTGGCTCATAGTGAATAATAGTGATTGTTTGCAAAATAAGGAAACAATGCAACATTTGTAAAAGTGACTCATGAGTCACTTTTACAAATGTAAAAAATGGCTACAACTTACTCAATTTAATAACATGCAAACGCACACAAGCACATAGTTCATAAGTGATGATGGTCTCAAAGACATATTCAATGGTGGCTTTTAAAATGTTGATGATAAAAAGATGATAGAGCTGACGGAGAACACTGCGTTTGACAGTCTTTTTAAACGACATCTCACCAATGGTTGATACTACAGTTCCCACGAAGTAAAAAGCGCCTGTGAAGTCCCATCGAGGTCTGACTGTGTCCACACGGATACCCGCTACGTTCGCCTCCTCGTAGTTCCTGAGGAAGTTATTCAGGTCTTTCTTACTCAGGTTGTAACTCTGACTGAAATGCTCGAACCTCTGCGTCCAGCGCTCCTTCGCCTCGCGCTCCTTTGGCTGCTCCAGCGCGGAGAAGACTGCGGCTCCACAAAGGAGATAGAAGATGATGAACAAAGCCAGCAGCAGGAACCTTGCGTTATCCTCGTTTATTGGACCGGAGCCGCAGCAGCAACCACTCCTACATGCCATTATGTTGCTGTTGTCACTGCGATGCAGCTGCTGCGAGGGACCTGTGACATGGTGGTCTCGAAAACAACGCGGAGTCTTGTCAAGAAACGTTGACAAGATATTCTACGACAGAAAAGTCCTGTGCAATACAATTAAATTGTTCAGGCAGGTTATGATCGATTTTTCCAAAGGCTGTGGATTTAGCATTTTGCTCACGATATGTACAGTCCAAGTCCGAGTCTAACGACTCCTCAGTTTATCTCCACCGGCTTGGGTCTGGTTGCTATGATGCTCAGAGAGGAGGAGAGAGCCGCGCGGCAACCTGTGGATGCAGAGAGTCGTCCTGTGCTCTGTGGCCCTGCCTCTCCAAACAAGTCCCCACCCCCGAGCGCGCGTTTTACGCACAACGAAATGACCACCAACATATGGATGAACAGCCTCTGTCGATTTATCACTTTATGCCAAGTATATTTTGTTGGATCGATTTGCCCATTTCAGCTCTTAAAATGCATAATAAGAGCCGAATCGGACAGTGAGTTCTGGCCTGAAGATGTTCGACCTGAACCCAACTTTGGAGGTTTGATTCCAACAATATGGAGCGAGTTTGCATGGTGAGATCAATATGACTTGACCTTTGCGGGCTCTGATGAGGGATTCATGCTCCTGCCCATGTTAACCGGGGACGATGTGAGCAAATGTCACGACAGAACGGCGGTTTCAGATACATTATTCAGGATCACAGGGACAACAAAAGAGCTATTTCTGTAAAAGTGGGAATTTAACAACACGATGAGACGTCATAGGCCATTCCAGAACTATGCAGCAGCCTTTCTAGGTCACACTTTAAGTGGTCTTGACATAAACCTGCAGCTTATTTAACATTATTATAAGACATGAGTGATGACTGTTAAGTGCTTAAGCTTTAGATTATGTAATGGTCTCATTTTTGGAAATGAAGTATTTGTTTTGCTATAACTACTTCAAATAAAAGTGTTAATTGTATCAATTATTAGCATTTCATTAATATCACACACAGAAACCAGCAGTCTTTTAAAGTGAGTGGTAATAAAAGACCTGTGCATCTCAGTACTTGTAGTTAGAACTACAAACGTGCAGTAAAGCAGCACTTTGGAATAAAATGATGTGATTATGTACAAATGACACCATCTGTATTAGTTTGAAACAAGAATAGATTACCAAACAAAAGGGCATAACCTCAAAAAAAGGTGCAGTTCCATAAGATTAAGTTATAGCTAATGGTGAATATTAAACACAAATACAGTATTAACAGCATAGTATAGGTTATGAGGGTCGGCTATTGTTAAATCAACATTAGGTCTATAGGTCTACTACACTTCCTAAGGTTGATCAGTGGAAGTCATTTTCAGTGTCCTATAACCTACATGACAACCACCTGTAGCAGCTCATCCGCTTTCACCGACCTGAGTGTTCTTGGTCATAGCTACAACAAGACAAGAGTGCAGGGCAATCCTCTTTAACATACATTCATACAGATGTTTTAAACTGTATGTGGAAGCAGTCAAATCCTTCTCAACCATGAAAGTATTGAAAAGTTTCTTAAGATAAAATCAAATGATAGATTTGCCAATCCTTTGTCATATTAGATTCATACATAAATTATAACACTAAATCAAAACGATAATGGTAAAAAAAGGGAAAGGTAATGGGGTAGTTTTTTTATATGAAAAGGACGATCATGAGAAACTAGACAACACAAGACAAAAGTGTTAACAGAAAGGTGATCTTTTTCCTGAACAATTGAGAGCATTAAGGGTAATAGAAAAAATGAATTGCCAGAGTTAAATCTGTGCAAGTTAAGAGTCATTATAGTCATTGAAGAGGAGGAAGCAATTGATAAGTACAAGAAATACTTGATAAAATAAAACATCAGTGCAGTAAATAATGTACTTAAACATTAACTATGTACATGACTCACTCCCTGATGACAGCATTTTATAGACTAGGCCAAATCCATACCACACAGCAACATATTGATATTTCACTGGCAGTTATTTTGAGATTAGTGTTGATTGGAGTGTTGTCTCGTCTCGCTTAGTAACTGCCATGTGTCTGGAGTGGCTGAGCAATCAAAGAATGTCGAATAAACCCTAAGTATACAGGACACTGAGACAAAGTGGGAATAGCTTTGCTTTTCTCTGGTATCTCAGGGTATAACAGCAATGATAATTCTGTTGTGTTTTCAGTAATTCTGGATTTCATGTTGGTGAAATGTAGTAATAACTAATACTATAATTTACTATACTGTACTAATATATACTACCTTATTTTACTATTACTATACCATACCACATTGATCCATAGTATACTATAACATACTATAATAAACTAGACTATACATACCTGTCAGGATTTAAGGCCAAAACAGTAATAGGGGACGGACCTAAATGCAGGGAGACACATTGAAACAGAGGGCTTTAATTATAAAGAAAATGTTCAACACAAAACCGGTAGAGCAGAGGAGTCAAAAAATGTGTAACAAAAAAAGTCCAGGAAAACAAAACCACTAAACAGGAAACATGGCAGAGAAGAGCAGGGATTAAATCAGGGACATAACAGGAGTCATTGTCGAAAAAAACAGGGAGCAAAGTAGAGCAGGTATCACAACAGACCAGGAAACACAACAGACGAACCAACAGTGAGACAGGGGACACACAAGGTTTAAAAAACTGGGAAGGTGCAAGTGATAAGACACAGCAGGGTTCAATCAAAGGCGGGGCAGACAATCACAAAGGCGGGAAATAGACAAGGACAGGAAGTGAAGTGAACACAGGACATAAGAGGCAGGGAAAGTCAAAATAAAATGGAAGAAACAATGAAACCCAAAACCGTGACACATACCATGCCATATGCATACCATAGAATACCATACTATACTATACTATACTATACTGTACTGTACTGTACTATACTATACTATACAGTACTGTACTATACTACACTATACTATCATATATTACACCATACCATACACCATGCTATACCGTACTATACTATACTAAACTATACTAACTATACTATACGATACTATACTATGCTATTTTATACCATACATACCATGCCATACTATACCGTACTATACTATACTATCTTGTGCAGCACTGCAGTAAACTATACTATGCTCTACTATTTCAAATTTTACGATAACATACCACACCACGCTATGCTGTACTATACTATACCATACTATACTATACTATTCTATACCATATATACCATGCTATATTACACTATACTATACTATGCTATTCTATATCATACATACCAGGCTATACTATATATACTACTATACTATACTATACTATACTTTAACATACCATACCGTACCATACATACTACACTGTACTTTACTATACTACACTATACCATACTATAATGACTATGTAATCACTTTATGTAATTACTATTTTATTTTAGTAGATATGAGCTCTGTTTCCATGGAAATACATTTCGAATATTCAAATAAGGGTTATTCATGGGCAGAGACATTTTGTAATGAAAGTAGCAGACCTGTAAACTAATAACAATCTTCTTTGCATGTGTATCAAATCTAGAAGTCCCAGGATTCTTTTTGCACTGTTGCAGCTGCACTATGGATTGATGCCAACAATTAAAAATGCTTTTTGGAATCAGGGCAGTAAACTCTGTCACAAATTCAGATCGTAACACAAAAGATCACATTGGGAAATCCTTGTCTGCAGCTGGACTATCTCACCTAACGTTGTACTATTACCTCGCACATAAACAATGTGGTTCACACTTGATCAATCCAGATTAAATGATTGAACCTCAGCTATCGGTTGTATAAGTCACTCATTCCTTTCCAAGATGACGGAAATGTGAGCTGCCGAGTACTAATTCCAGTATGCTTTCAGGCCACATTGGTTCCTAAAAATGGACCGAGCAAAGTTATCATTTATCTGGCAAGCAACGGGATTTCCTACATTTGACTAGAATGTGTGGATAAAGCATTACGTTTAAAATGTACTCATTTAGTCGCTGGCTAATTTTCTAGCTATCTTGCTAATTCTACTTTCATTCAACACTGGTTACAGAAAATGAGCGCACGTGGGAGAAGTCTACCTTTACCAGAAATCTCCTTAGATTAAGAAAACCATCTTGGTTAGGTCTAGGAAAAGATCCCAGCACAGTGGTACTATCCGATGACAGCACAGTAGGACAGAGCTAATACCAGTCTTGGGAAAAAATAACGCCTCCGTGAAGAGGACCCACTCCTTTTGCAGATATGAAGGGCTAAGCTGAACTAAACACAACAAATCTTAGTTTCAGGTGATTAAAAAACGATCAAATATGAATATTATATTCCATTTCTGTGAATAGAACCCCCGAAATGCTATACAATGGCCCTTTAAGTAATCTTCAATACAGGCTTTTCTGTTTATATAAACAAATTGACAATTACTGTAATTCAGGTCTAGTTCACAATATATCTTGTATTTTCTTCCCTCCTTTGATAAATTAGGCAGTTCTGATAAAATAATTTTCCACCATCACTTGAACCAGTTCATGACATAATTCCATAATAACCCAATTTGGCCTGTTTCTACCTCTTCGGTCCAGGCTGAAATGAATGAATAACTATTGGATGGATTGCCATGAAATGTGGTCGAGACATTCACTGTCTGCAGAGGATTGAAGCTACTTTGAAAACCATGATTTTTCGTCTTGTACCACAATCATATTTTACATAGTAATATTGACAAGTATAATGAAAATCACAATTGATTATGTCTGACACAGTACAACATACTTAAAGAAATAATAGATAAATAGGAATTAGAAAGATAGTACGACATTGCTGATACCTCACAACACACATGCCTGTGAATAAGTGGAGAGCTGGTGAGTGGAGCATTGTCATTCTGATCATGTCTGATCATGTGCAGCCTCACAGAGCCGCTAGCATGGTTTGGCCTTTTGGCCTTAAACATCACATCAGCCATGCTAACAGTCTCATTAGCTTACAGAGATCCACATGCAACAATGTAGAGGAGTAAATACCATCATATCATTCATACAGTGCTCAAACAATAGCCATCTTTTTCTTTGATCTAATACCATCCTTCCCCAGCAGACAAAGATTTCTGACTCATTAAACACAGTGTTTTGTTCTGGTTATGAAGTATGAACATCTGAACAACACCACTATCCCAATTTAGCTAGAAATTGAGCTGTTCAGCACCACTGCTACGTTT